TACTTCGGCCCCAAAGTACCTATACAGGGACTACTTCAAGGCCAAAGTATATACCATTCGGGTACATGGACCCTGTGGGTTTCTCACTACATGACCAGCTGTCGGGCTGCTTCCGAAGCCCTGATTTCATTTGAGGGGATTTAGCCGAGGAGCCTGAGCCCTAAATCCTAAACCCCCAACCCTAAACCCTAATCCCAGTACCAAAAGGCTCTTGGTTCTAAAGCATCTGGACAGCACCAAGGTATTGCGCCCTTGTCCGGTGCTCAGCTTAGGGCTTAGGTCTAGGTTGGTTTTGGGGGTTTGGGTTTATGGTTTATGGTTTCCTGTATGGTATGGGTTTTTGGGGCTTTCGATTGTTCCCAGAGATTTCTAGACGCTTCATTAAGAAATATACTTCAAGTTATAATAGGATCTTGAATATATTATGGAATATGCTTTAATTACGGGATGTTGGAGTGCGCTACACCCGAAACCGTATAGACCCATTATAGGAACCCTGAAAGGAGCCGTTATAGATCCCTTGAAAGGGATATTGGCGCACTGGCTTTTTCACTCTTCAAGGTTCCTAATTAAACCCTAAGCCCTCACCCTTTAGCCCTAAGCCTTAACCCTACTAGACTACTGAAATCCCAACCGCCCGAAACACTAAACCCTTAAACCCCAAAGCCCTTAAAGTCCTAAGCCTCGAAAGCCGTAAAATCTACCCTTACTTAAGAAAGCCAGCTAAGAGCCCCCAAGCCCCCAAACCGTGCATGTAAGGTTTGGTAAACCCTTATAGACCCTAGTCCTACACCCTGAACCCCCCGTAGATTCCTTAACGGAGCCCTGAAACCCCTAAACACCTAAACCCTAAACCCCTAAACCCCTAAGCCCCTAAGCCCCTAAACCCCTAAACCCCTAAACCCTAAACCCCAAAAGGAACCCTTAGAGATCCCTTAAAAGGAACCCTTATAGGTCCTTTTTATAGATCCCTTAAAGGCCCCTAAACCCCTAAAACACTGTTCATGGCTTCAGCCTTGTCGCTCTCTTTTGGATTTTGCTTCGGGGCTTCAGTTGACGAGCAGCTCAGGTCTTAACAGATGGTTCAGGGTTTAAGGCTTTGGGTTTAGATTGTGTTCAGGGCTTAGGGCTTTGGGTTTAGATTGTGTTCAGGGTTTAGCGTTGCGAGATGTGATTCATTTATTATGATGCCGATGGTACGGGTGTGAGAACTTTGTTGCGAAGGTTTACGGCTGAGCAGTACAACTACAAGAGTCCATTGTTCTTTCCAGGGCAGCAACCCAGCGCAGGAGCCGCAGAGGCGAGTACTTAAAGGTTCATGCGACTTAGTAAGCAGGGTGATACATAAGGCAACTTTACGGAGATTTAGTTATAACTTATAACCCTAGTTCAGGTAATCACAACTGTAGTTACTATGTCCCACAATTATTGAGTATGCGTAGTCCCTGAACTCGGAGCTGTCATCCGAGGCTATTTAGAGTGCCGCTGATGTCGGAGTATTTGCTCCTCTGCCCGTGACCCCAGTCAGGGTTTTCGGTTTAGTTAGGGGTCCAAAAAGGACATAAGCATAAGCATTTCATAGGGATATCTCACCGTTTTTGGGCTTCACTATAACGGGATTCATATGGGATATCCCTATCCTTATTTTTGCTTACGTGCTTGTTTTGGGGGCATATTTATAATGGGGTTCCAGCATAGCCGGAGCTTTCAGCCCAAGATGCTAAGCCCTGGGTACAAAGGCGTATGGCAGTGAGAGGTTTAAGTTTAAACGTATACTACCTACCGTATACTGATAATGGAAGATGCAATACTACTAGGCCTTCTTCTGGTTGGCTCCTAGGTTTTTGGGGTTTCTGTATGAACTATATGAAGGGGGCTAAAGGTTTAACTTAGAGAAGGGGTTCAGAGATTCAGAACTCAGCCAATATTATACTTTACCGTATTGAGTTGTATCGTGTAACTTGTGATAAAACGCAATATGGTCGAACCCTTACAGTACACAACGGTAACATACTGTAGGACATCGTTTTGCTTGTTCCGGATCCTTCAAACGAGCAATTGCGATGGCGTACTGTAGAGGCCTTATACATGGATGATTAGAACAGAACCTTTTAGATTTTTTATGTATATCACTGCAAAACTTATAAAGGGACTATAAAGCGCATCATTTTTCTGCTGACCATATAGTACCAGGCATTAATGTTTAGGGTTTAGGCACCCAGCTGATCTTCTTGAAGCGTAGCCGAAATTCCGAGCCGAGCAAGTCGGGTTTCGGCGAGGTGTGCAGCCCTACTTAAAGGATCATGGGACTCAGTAACTAGGGTTATGAACAAGGTAACCATACTTATAATTACTTATAACCCCAATTAAGGTACTTATAACCTTACTTACTAAGTCCCATGATGCCCCAAGTAGTGCTACGAGTGCCAGACGGTTTAAGGTCTAGGGTGTAGTTTCGGGTTCAGGTTTCCAGCTGGTCGCTGCGTTGAAGAGTTGTTAAGGTGACTTGTGCAGTTTTGCATTGGGTGATAGCCTAAACTGTAAATTCTACAACCCACAACACGCTTTTGGGTTACCGTCTGCTTACCCTGGGCATCAAAATAGCCCAAAGGCCTTTTACAATATGGCCTTTCGCCCCAAAGCCTTAATATATGAGTCCTTAGATGCCTACGGTTAGAGCTGCTTTCTGAAGGCCCCATAAAGGGACTGCAAAGGTTGATTTTCTCAACAGGTGATGTGGGATGCTTTCTGAGGTTGCCAGCGAGGCCCCAAACCCCTAAACCCCCAAACCCTAAACCCTACCTTAGCCTTGAAGGACCTACCTTTCTGTTATATAAGGAAATCATAGTAAGGAACCTCAAAAAGGTAGGTTTTTCACAGTTCAGGTATAACTTTGAACCCAAAACCACATATAACAATAGGAGACCCCAGGCCCCTGAACCCCAACCCTAACCTCTTTAGCTAGAACTCCTTAGGGTTTTAAGGGGTTTAGGGTTTAGGGTTTAGGGGTTTAGGGTTTAGGGGTTTAGGGTTTAGGGGTTTAGGGTTTAGGGGTTTAGGGTTTAGGGGTTTAGGGTTTAGGGGTTTAGGGTTTAGGGGTTTAGGGTTTAGGTTTAGGGTTTAGGGTTTCCTAGGATACCGAAGCCCCAAAGCCGTTCAACCGTCAACTCCAAGAGCCAGTACGTAGCGGCTTGAACCGTAAGCCCTATGACTGATAGAACATCCTTAACCCAAAGCCCTAGACCCTGAAGAAACATACCGTTTTTGAGGGCTTATATAAAGAAATCATGATAAGGAGCCCCAAAACGGTAAGTTCTTCAGGGTCCAGGAAGCCCTTGAACTACTCTAAACCCGACCTGATCCAAGAACCTACCGCTTTAAGGGTTCGGCCCGCTCATTTCGGGGTCATGGCCTACTATTCTGTAGGGGTTGGGGTCACAGGTTGAACTACTCTAACCCTGAACCCTAAAATAGGCCCTAAAATTTTTAAAACCTGAACCCTAAACCCTTAAACTTGAACTACTCTAAGCCCCCCCTAAACCTAAACCCTAAACCCTAAGCCCTTAAACCTGAACTACTCTAAACCGGGAAAGCCCGACAGACCTCAGGCCACGCTCGCCGGCAAGATCGCAAGCCTGGCGCTAAGCATTTTCGTCAGGTTCACTGTTCCTATACCCCCCAAAAGTAGGTAAAATAATGATTATAATGGCCCAAAACCTATAACAGGCCATTATTATACATACTTTTGGGGGTCCAAGTTCAAGGGGTCCAAGGGTTCTAGGGCCGCGGATCTGGGGTTAGGATGTATAGGGTTTATAGGTGTTCTGTATTTGGAGGTTCACGGGACTTAGTAAGTGCTTAAGGGGCTTCTTAAAAGGCTCCTTGAAGGAATCTATAGGGTTCCTTAAAGGGATCTATAGGGTTTAGGGTTTAGGGATTACTTGGAGGTTCATGGGACTTAGTAAGTACATTCATAAGTACTCTAATTTGGAGTTGTAAGCACATATAAGTGTAGTTACCTTAAGTATAACCCTAGTTACTAAGTCCCATGAACCTCTAAGTAGGCCCTCGGATTTCGGGTTCGGATTTATTGGGGTTTATAGGCATTCCGTAGTGTCCCGACCTGCCCGATGCTGTGCAAGCCGAAGGTCCCGCAGATCAAGCGAGAAGACCCCCCGTCCTTACTCCTGAACCTTAACATGCTAAATATTCCCTTACTTATTGGCTGTAAACTCAACTTTTCAACTTTTGGGGTTCTTATAAGGCAGTCGATTCTGAAAGTTTCAACTTTTATTTCCTTGGGCTTTGGGCCAGTCAGCTTATGACCCGCTTCGCAGTATAGCATATGTCTACCCCAAACCCTACTTTGATCCCTAAGGCCCCTTTATTAACCGGGGCCTATGCTAAATAATAATCCTTGAGGCAGGATGCCGACGGCCTTGCAGCCATAAGCATGCTGAAGATCTATCAAGCCATTCTTAATCCCCCCAACCTTCTGAAACATGTCTTACAGCCCCGCCTTAATATGCCCCTACATGATACTCTTATAGACCCTAAACCCCTAAACCTTAAACCTTAAAAGTTAAGCCCTAAACCCTAAATGTTACTTATAGATCCACCACCAAAGGTGCCCTCATAGAGCCCTCCGTCATGATGCCCTCATTTCAGCCTTTAGCCCTAAGCCCTAAAGCTATCAAAATACTGAAATCCCAACCGCCCGAAGCACTAAACCCTTAAACCCCACAGCCCTTCACTTCCTAAGCCCCGAAACCCGTAAAATCAACCCTTAAGAATTCCAGCTAAGAGCCCCCAAGCCCCCAAACCGTGCAGTCAAGGTTTGGTAAACCCCTAAACCCTAGTCCTACACCCTGAGCCCTCTGTAGATACCTTAGCGGAGCCCTGAAAGGAACCCTAAGCCCCTCTAGACGAAGTTGAGTCGAATCGAGATCTGGTACCTGTTATGTGCCTCCCTGGTGACTACCAATCAGTCGCAGTTTGCAATGGCATTGGACAACATAGCCAATGAGCGCATGTCGAGCAAGCTCAAGGCGTGGGTGAGAACGAACCTCGGGGGGACCGTCAGAGCCACAACGATGCATTTGGCGAGCGGTTTCCCGGAAGCGGCGGTGTTGGCCGGCCTTCAGCACGACATCAACCTGGAAGAGATCGTGAGCCATGCTGTCGGGTTCAGGGTGTCGCACCAGTTGCGGTGAGGCTTTCCTTTGTAAATGAGGAGCGTGTGACCTGCTCCTCCCTTGCGGGCTGAAGATCGCGGCGATGGCGGCGAACCTGAAGTTCCCTTAAATGACCTCTTAAAGATCTTTTAAAGCAATCCTTGGAAAGAGCCCTATGTAAGCCCTAATGGATCCCTTAAAGGAGCCCTTAAACCTTTCTTCACAGCAACTCCTAAAATAAAAGAACCCTAAGCCTTAAACTTAAACCCTCAACCAGTGTAGATCCCTTTATAGCGACCCTTACAGATCCCTTAAGGGGACCCTCCAAGGATAGATCCCTTATAATAGATCCCCTATACTATACTTAAGGGATCATGGGACTTAGTAATTGGGGTTATAATGACGACAGCTACAGTTATACTTACTTACAGCCCCACTTAAGGTACTTACAACCGGGCTCTGCAAGCTATGCGAGGACCTTCTCGAAGCTTCTCAGCGAGGGTGCCACTGTGGCCGCCGGAGTCTCATGGTCTCCGTTGAGGATTCCCTTCAGTGATTTAGGTGCCCAGACCTTCCAAAATCCCTTAATTAAGGGATATACCTTAAATTACAATAGGGATCCTACTATAATTTAAAGTATATTCCTTAATTAAGGGATTTTGGAAGGTCTGAGTGGGTTTAGGGTTCAATTTAAGGGTTCCTCTCAATCTGAAGGATCCCTTTAAGAGTTCCTTTAAGGGATCTATAGCGTTCAGGTTAGGGTTTAGGGTTTACAGGTATCCTTTAAGCATTCCTTTAGCGTGTCTACAGGGGCTAGGGGCTCTTTTTAAGGATTGCTAGAAGGCACCTGCAATCTCCTTGAAGGGATCTACAGGGGTGTAGGGGTTGTAGGGCTTTGAACGCATTGTTTAGGGGTGCATGGGGCCTATACGGTGTAGGGTTTAGACTTAGACAGTGGTCAGGGTTTAAGGTTTAGGGTCAGGACTTTGGGCTTAGGTGTTTAAATCGTCGTTTAGACCAGGGCTCAAGTTTTTGACAGCTGAAGGGTTAGCTGATTAGCCTAAGATCTGGCGCGGAACCTATATAAACCCTAAACCCTAAACCCGTAAACCCTAAACCGCGTATGCCGGGACGGAAATGACTCGGCTACGCCTCACACAAGACGGACGTCCGTCCGTTAGTCAGTCCGTTAGAATTTGGGGTGTCTTGGGGGAGTCTGAAAAGCAGCCCCAGAGGGTCTGGGGCCCAGGCTGCCACATTTCAGGGACTTTAGGGGATCTGTTATAAGGGTTTAAAGGGTTTAGGGTTTAAAGGTTTAGGGTTTAGGGTTTCAGGGTTTAGGGTTTAGGGTTTTAGGGTTTGAGGGTTTAGGGTTTTAGGGTTTAGTTGTTTGTTGGAAACGTTGCCGACACCAATGCGGCTCAGCTATGGTTTGCTGTGAACTGTCGTCGTTTATGTGTCGAACTGCGAAGGGAAGCAGAGAGCAAGAAAGCCCCTCTTGAGTCATTGAGGGGGGTTTGGGGGGTGAACCCTAAACCTTTTTCGTAGTAAGGGTGGTTGGGGCGGGACTACATGCTGACGCAAGCGCGCGATAAGTGGGCGCGCCCCCCATTTCCAAAAAAAGCGCACCTCTGCACACCCTAAACCGTAAACGCCTGAAGCCCCCTAATCCCCATACCCTAAGCCCCTAAGCCCCTAAACCCTAAACCCTATGTTCAGGTCAACCCGGGGGGCCTTTATGAGCAGGTCGCCACCGATGCCAACCAGGTGCCGATGCAAAGTACGGGATTTAAGGGCTCCTTTAACGGATTTAGAAGGGTCCCTGTAAGGGTTCCTATAATACAAGGGTTTATAAGGGTTCCTTTAAGGGTTCCTGTAACGGATCTTTAGAGTTTGGGGATTTAGGCCCTCCAAGTAAGGGGTCATAACCGACTATTTTGTAGGGTTTGGGGACACAGGTATGGTTTGAGGGTTTATGGCTTTGAGGTGCTGACAGTCGGAGTTTCAGGTTTCAGGCTTTCAGAAGCTTGCGGCTTAAGGGTTAGTTCTGATGGTTTACCAATGGATCCCAAAACCTACGTTTCTTTATGGGTCGTACTCTAAATTGAAGGGTAAAGGGTCATTACTCCTAAGGCTGAAGATCTGCAAGATGTCGAAAAATCCGCTGGTAACAAACATTCTCCCCGGACCATGTGGGAGCCTTGAACCCTCAACGGTTAACCATACACTCTGACAGAAACCAGATAACCCTAAACCCTAAACCCTATAAACCCTAAACCCTAAACCGTCCCGTAATGAAGGTTCTAGGGTTTAGGGTCTGGGATGAAGCCCGGAGCTCCCAACGTAAGTCTGGAAATCTCATACCCAAAGAGACCAGCATCCCTCACCCTCTCCGCACACTCTTTCAGGGTAAAATAGAGGGTAGTTGGGGGGGTGCTGGGAATTCTGAGCCGAAAGGCCTTGGCTGTCTCGGGTCGCATGTTGTTTTTTGTTTACTCTTCTTCGACCCGCAACGGTGTGCTGCCCAAATACGACACATTACATAGTAGAAGAAGACATCATAACCCTAAACCCTAAACCCTAAACTATAACCCTAAACCCTAAACCCCTAAATCCTAAACCCCAAAATCCTAAACCCCAAAATCCTAAACCCCAAAACCCTAAACCCCAAAATCCTAAACCCTAAACCCTAAACCCTACTGTAGGGTAGAACAGCGAGCACAGCAGGCCTTTGGGTCCCAAGGTAGCAAGCGCCTACTTGGAGGGTCGGGGGATTTAGTAAGGGCTCCTTAAAGGGCTCCTAAAAAGGGATCTATAGGGTGCCTTAAAGGGATCTATAGGGTTCCTTAAAGGGATCTATGGGGCTTAGGGTTTAGGGTTCACTTGGTGGGTCGGGGGACTTAGTAACTGGTTATTTTAGGGACTTATAAGTACCATAACCCCAATTAGGATCCCTGTTAGGGTACTTATAAGTCTACTTATTACCTACTTACTAAGTCCCCCGACCCTCCAAGTAAACCCCAAGGCTCAAAATAGCCCAAAAGCCTTATATAGTATGGCCTTTGGGCCCAAAGGCCTTAAAATATGAGTCCTTAGAGCCTAAGGGAAACCATAAATCCGTAAGCTCCTAAAGCCTTCCCTAAGGGTCCAAGTACAGTGAACCCAGATGGTAGGGTTTTTAAGTCCCAAAATCCATACTCTGAATGGTTTTTGGACCTTAAAACCCTACTATTTGGGTACTTGGACCCTTAGGGCTTCATTACCGAAGCTGGTTTCGCTTGAAGGCTCAGTGTTAGGGTTTAGGGTTTCTGGAACCTCAAAGATCTTGTGAACCCTAAACCTTAAATCCCAGATAGAAATCATGTAGATTCGAAACCCGAAACCCTAAACCCTAAAACCTAAACCCTAAACCCTAAGATTCGAGGCTCAATCTCCTGAGCCTTCAAGCGAAACCAGCTTGCGGGTAGGGGTTTAGGGTTTAGGGTTTAGGCAAGCTTCGGTAATGAAGCCCTACGGGTCCAAGTGCCCAAGTCGTAGGGTTTCAAGGTCCAAAAACCCGTACTAGCTCTATCTTAGAAAGTTTGAACTTTTGGGGGTCCGGTTGTTGAAGAAGAAAGACTGGGCCAGTAGTTGACATATCCCTTACCTAGAGGCTCATACCCTGTCCCTTTTTTGGGATACCTTGTTTTATGGTTAGGATCGGTTATAAAGAAAAGCAGATACCCAAAGAAAGGGTAACGCATGAGCCTCTAGGTAGGCTCTAAGAACTCATCGGTGAAGGCGTTTTGGGCCCAAAGACCAGGCTTTTGGGCGATTTTCAGCCTGAGGGTATGGGTAGTTCTCTAAACTGCTGCAGCTGTTTGGGTCCCAAAGTAGTACGGCACCCTTGTGAAAGGACCCTAACAGGAGCCCTAGTGTAGAGAATTACCCACATCATGAGACGGAGAAAGTACGGTTACAATCTCAGACAACTCTACTCAAAAATACTTAGTTGGGTTAGGCTGGTGGCGACTTTGTCTTCCCCACTTCTTTGTGGGCTGGGGTTCGGGTTTAGGATCTAGGGCTTAGGGGGATACTGTAAGGGTGACTATAGGGGTTTATTGTGATTTCTACGACAAGGGTTCTTGTAAGGGCTGCCATCATCTATATATGAGGATTACTATAAGGCTTAGGGTGAGGTTTGTGATAAGGGCTATTGTAAGGGTTGCTATAATCTGCAAGGGTGGCTGGCAAGGATTCTGCATAAGGGTTGCTGTATAGGGCACTGTAGGAACTAGGGTTTAGGGTTTAGGGTTTGGGGCACTGTAGGAACTACTGTAAGAGTTCCTACTAGAGAAGCTTAAATAATTACAGCCCACAGGCAAAGCCGTAAAGAGCTGCATTCCGTTGTTGAGTCCCTCCAGGAGCGACTCTTCTTCCCTGCCAATCTTGGCTTCGTTCGGTGTCCTTGGCCTCGTTCAGCTTTACCCTTAGGCCCTAAGGACTCATAGTTCAAGGCTTTTGGGCACACTGTAAAGGGTTTTTGGGCTATTTGGAGCCTTAGGGTTAGGGCTCTACTTTTTCCAGGGTTCTACAAGGGGTTTGGGCATGAAAGGAAGTAGGGTTTATTCGGGTGGCATGGGGTTTGGCCTTATGACTAAGTGTAAGGGGTCATAATCGGCCAGTTTGCCCTAAACCGTAAACCCGAAACCGCGTTTGGGGCTTCAGGGTTACTTTGGAATGGGGATGTGGACTTATTCTTGAAGGCGGCTAAGGGCTTTATGTGGGTCGAACCTGGGTTCCACACCTGGATTTGAATCCTGGGTTCGAATCTAGCCCTGAGGGTCCATGTACCCAAACAATATATAGTTTGGCCTTAAAGTAGTCCCCAGAAAGGTACTTTGGGACCAAAGTATTATTCTATTTGGGTACATGGACCCTGAGGGTCGGTTTGAACCTGGGTTTAAAACCCAGGTTTTGGGCCTTTGGGCCTTGTGTTGAGAGCTAGCAGCTACTTGGAGGGTCGGGGAACTTAGTAAGTAGATGGTAACTAGACTTATAAGTACCCTAAAAGGGACCCTTATTGGGGTTATGATACTTATAAGTCTACTTGTTATCTACTTACTAAGTCCCGCGACCCTGCAAGTAGAGGGCCCTCGGCTATGGAATTGAGGGAGGGTGCCTGCTGGGGTGCGTGATGTCGAGAATTTCCACAACCTACAAGCCCAGCGGCTGTATTCCGAAGGCCAAAACCTGGAAAGCCTAACTAAGGCTGTACTCTAAACCCTAAACCCTCACCCTAAACCCTTAACGAGGAGATGGAGATCGTGCCCACAGAATTGCCGATGCTCAATCTGAGGGCATTCCTATGGCACCTCTGCAACTCCATGCCGGGTATGGCTGCTTTCTTCCAAACGCAGCTAGCCAAATACCCTTGTACCGCATCCACTCCATGGAGGATCGCCTTGTACAACGACGAAATCAGCCCAGGCAATCAATTGAAGACCAGCAATACCCGAAAGGTGCAAGGATATTACGTGAGTTTCTTGGAACTCGATGCCGAAGGTCGCGGTCAGGAGAACCTGTGGTTCACTTTGTGCCTGGCTAGATCTTCGCTTGTGAGCAAAATCCAGGGGGGGGGGGGGGGGGGGGCTGTCGGGAACCCTAAACCCTAAACCCTCAGCAAGAAAGATTTTTCGTTGCTCGAGTCCGGCATAGGCTTGAACTTCAACCCGCCTGGGGTGCTGGCTCACAACAGCATGCCACTTGTGAAGTGCTTGATGTGTTTCATCTTGGCGTTCTTCTGGTTGGCTCTTTAGACTTTAACTTCTGGGGTTTTTATATGAACTATAATAAGGAGGCTAGAAGTTTAACTCCTAAATCCAAGTCATGTGGAGACCCTATGTAAGAAACGAACTCTAAAAAACCCAGCCTCAACGTCACGAAGCATCAGTATCGAATCCTCCCCCTCGTACTTGGGAGGTTGTCGGTTTAGGGTTTACCTTAAGCCGGAATAACCTACCTTTTTAAGGACTTATAGAAGGAAATTAACCTACCTTTTTAAGGACTTATATAAGGAAATTAACCTACCTTTTTAAGGATTTATATAAGTAAATTAACCTACCTTTTTAAGGACTTATATAAGGAAATTAACTTACCTTTTTAAGGACTTATATAAGGAAATTACAATAAGGAACCCTAAAAAGATAGGTTCTTCCGGCTTAAGGTAGGGTTTAGGGTGTCCCACATGAGGGTTTCTTGGATGGCACATCTTTGAGCAAGAGTTGACTTTGTAGGGTTTGGGGATACAGGTAGAGCCTATAAGCAGAAAACCCTGATAGTAGCCTTAAGATCCCGAAACCCTCTAAACCCCCAAACCCCCAATCCTGATGGATCCACTGCCAGGCTCGCCATCCAGCACGGCACCCCGCTGCTGCCAATCTACTGCTTTGGCGAGAATCAGCTTTTCAGGATCTGCTTAAGGGTTTAGGGTTTAGGGGTTAGGGTTTGGGGGTTTAGGGTTTAGGGGTTTAGGGTTCAGGTTTGGGGGTTTAGGGTTTAGGGTTGAGGGTTTAGGGTTTCGGATTTGGCGTTTAGGGTTTCGGATTTGGCGATCAGGGTTTCGGATTTGGCATTCACGGTTTCGGATTTGGGGTTTAGGGTTTCGGGTTTAGGGGTTCGGGAGGCGGCCATGAGAGGGAATAGGTGCCGTATTATAATAAGGACCCCAAAAGGGCCCCTAAAGTTGACAACCACCCATGTGTACATCATTGCACATCTTTGGATGTGCCAGCGCAAGGTCTGGCGCTTCGTCAGCAACACTGCGGTGCCAAAGACGTGCCCGCTGGTGCACCCTGACCTGCGCAAGCCATGCCTTTTCCCTGGCTGCGGCAACATCGCGAAGGAGAAACGCCTGAGAGGCTACTGCAGCATGGCCTGCGTGAATAGGAGGTAGCCCTGAAGCGCCCATGTACTTTTCCATTATGTACGGGACCCTTGAAGAGAATTTCCTGACAGCTACGATTGGAGCAAATTTTATACTATATGGCTCCACTGTACATGGACACCCGTGGTCATCCAGGGTTTAGGATGTATGGGGTCTGGGTGTTGGGGTTTAGTTTTGCGTTTGGGGCTTTGGAGTTTCGCGAGTTCAGGGGTTTGAAGGTTTATGAAGCTCAAGGCAGGTGTCGGAGTGCAGGGTTTATCGAATTTGCGGGTGTATCATAGAGTTCCATCACGTTTCAATTGCCCAAACCTTACAACATAGCAGGTTATGGCCCCTTGGTTAGAGGCTAGAACCCTCAAAAGCGGTAGGTTTTCGGATCTCAAGGTACCTCTGCCATTAGGGTTTGGGGTTTAGGGTTTAGGGGTTTAGGGTTTAGGGGTTTACCCTGAGGGTCCAAGCGCCCAAATAGTAGGGTTTCAAGGTCCAAAAACCATTCAGGTATGGATTTTGGGACCTAAAACCCTACTATTTGGGTACTTGGACCGTCTGGGTTTAGGGTTTAGGGTCAAGGTACCTCTCCCATTGGGCTCGGAGTCCTGATTCTGGAACATAGCGCCTTGGAAAGATCCTTGCTGAAATTATAGGATCCTTGAGGGGGGGTGGTTCAAGGGGGGAGGGTACAAGGAATCCTTAGGGGAACCTTAGGGAGTACTAGGGAGAGTTAGGGATCACTAGGCTATATACCCCCCTTGGAGCCCCCTCCCTTAAGGATACTATAATGAAAGAGCCCTTAAAGGACACTTCAAGGAAGCCTTAGCAGGGCCCTTAAAGGAACCCCGATAGGCCAAGGTCCTGCCATTCTTGAAGGTAGGTTTTCTCTTAGTCCTTCAACACATGTTGTTCAATCTGTCGGGCTCTTGTGGCCTACGGTTGATGATATGAATCCTGCATTACCCATAATTTGAAACGCTGCGCGTCGTCCGCCTCGGCCCGGCTGTACGCGCATGCGGCGAGTGGCTACTATCTGCAGCAAGCTGTTGTAGGAAAAAAAGTAACAGTTGGAATCGCACTTATAGTAAAAGTAATGTTCATAGCAACACGAAGCAGGATGATTGTGAGTAGTCAGTATTAGTAGTGGTAGTATCAGTACGAATTTTGGTGTCGTCATTCCGAAACACTGGATACCAAGACTCTAGCAAGCGGCGGGATGCCTTAAGTATGGGCCGTTGAGGCTGTGGATTTCGTGGGCGTCTTGGATTAAATTCAGGTTTGAAACTCCCTTAATATTGCAGCCTTACAGGCGAGCCCCAATTTTTCAGGCTGGGGTTAGGGTGTAGGGTTAGGAATTCAGGTTTGAAACTCGCTTGGTACTGCAGCCTTAAAGGCGAGCGCCAACACATAAAGATGCTACATTGCAGTCCCGTGTCATCGAAAACTCCAGAAAGCTCGCACCTGTCAGCGAGCAGGAGGGGCGGGAGGGAAGGGGGGAGGGGGGGGGGGGAGGGGGGGAGGGGGGGAGGGGGGGGAGGGGGGGAGGGGGGGGGGGGGGAGGGGGGAGGGGGGGGAAAGAAGCCAAAATCGGCGAGAATTCACCGCCGTACCTTGGAGCTCAGTGACACGTTTCCATTTTAAGGGGGGGGGGGGGGCGTTTTGGTGTGGGGTCACTGGTGGGGAATAGAGGGAATCCGAATAGGAACCTCTGACCGCTTCGGCCGAGGCCGGGCCGAGGCGAATAATAAGGAATATATATATATATATATATATATATATATATATATATGATAATGCTCATGGTTTGGGGTTCTTAAGGTAATGCAGGATTTATTTCATCAACAATATCATGCTGCCAGGACAACTCGTGAATTCCTCGAATACTGGTAAATGGCTCAAAGCAGGATGTCCTGGGGATCCCAAAACCCACTGCTTTGGGGGTTTAGATTAAGGGGTCATAACTTACTATTTTGTAGGGTTTGGGGCTACAGGGTGTTGCATCCTGTTTAGACAGCTCTTATCCTTCCGCCGCATGTATACGCATACATGCATAATATGGTAATATGCCCCCCGCAAGTATCACAAAGCCCTGTAAGACCTCACCCAGAAAACCTAACCAAGACATATACAAGCCTATTGTGAAATTTCCCTGTCTTGAAGCGCCGTGTTGACATGTCCTCATGCGAGCGTAGTTTTTGTGTTAGTTCTGAACGTACCCTGTATGACAGACGTCTTGGGCTCAGACCAAAAAGTGTGCTCGTTTGTGTGGTTGGACACTCACTAATCCAGTTCCTGCTTCAAACTGGTAGCGGAGCTGTGAGGACAACCACTAGTGTTTCACCCCCGTTGAGCCTGTGGTCCGGGGTCCGTTGGGTAGAGTAGTGATAGTCGCGGCGCAAAGGCCCCTTCTGTCCTCGAAGCCATGAGCGTGGCAGGTTTGCGTTACCAGCCCAATCTCTGGTCACAGAACCTGAGCCCTGCAGAAACCAAAAGCGGATCGTACATATACGACGGTACGGCTGCTGGCTTCCATGATTGGTGCTTCCGGACACAGATCCGTGTGCTGCAGCATAAGGAGAAGCAGCGGCGCGAAGCTCTTAAGGACCTGCGTTTTGCCGAGTCGGCAAGGGCCAAGAGCGAGTCACCAAGGAAGTGGCGTGGCAGGGCAAGTCAGGGGACCAGTGCATCGCCCACAGATGGTGATGGAAGCAGCGGTATACCCGCCAGTCCGTCCAGCGCAAAACGGACTAAGCCCGCGTCCGAGGCAGAAGATGAGGATGCGGAGTCGCTACCGTCGCACCCCAGCCAAGTGGCGGGCGACGATGAACAAGAGCCGGACACAGATCCGGCGGTGTACACCTTGCAAGACGTCAAGGACGAGTCGCTCGACATGAGCGAATGCGTTAGCAAGATCCTAGAGGGTCTCCGAGGAGATGCCTTTTGCATCGCTCGCGACGTCGGCCTGGAACGTCTGCTTCGCCATGACGGCGTCGACTACCTGATAGAAGAAATCAGGAGGCAAGCCTTCCCTCTTCAATCCGAAGAGGCGTCCGAACTTTTCCGTCAGGGACAGCTCCTGACGGGCCCACTTGCAAAGCAACCTGGCGAGCCTATGTTGTCTTACATAGCCCGCCGAAAGCGGTGGTGGTCGACCTTGCGTGAGCTGGATCCTGATATCCGCCTTTCTGAAGCAATGAGGGCTAATCTCCTTGTTGAGCTTTCAGGGTTGGAAAGGTCCGAGCAGCTAATGGTCAAGACCGCCGCCCGCGTACACAGCGTGGATGAGTACGCACGCGTCCTTGTTCAGCATCACTCAGTGGTGCACATGAAGGAACGTCTTCTTACCCAGAAGGACCCTAGTGGCCCAGGTAAGACCTGGAGACGTTTCGACGCTAAGCCCCAATACCCTAAGTTCGGCTATATGGGGTATGATGGTAGTGCCGCAGAGTATGGTTACCAGGAACAACAGGAATCCGCGGAAGGCTACGGTGACGGCTACGGCGAAGAAGCATACCAGGCCACAGCGTCTGGGGGAGATGATGCGGATGAATGGATTGATGATGAGGATCTAGCATTGCAACTCAACGCCTATACGGCAGTGGCATATGAAGCTGAGATTGACGATTTGGATGATTCCTATGCCGAGTCAGTTCAGCTTGCGTACGCGGCACAGACCGCCTTTGCCCAGGCGAAAGGAAAAGGAAAGGGGAAGAACAAGGGCAAGTCCCCCGGAAAATCCGGAGGGAAGGTCGTGCGTAGCAATTTGACCATTGCTGACCGTAAGGCCAAGTTAGCAGAGCTTAAGGCAAAGAGTAGGTGCCTGAAGTGCGGTGTGATCGGCCATTGGGCCGGAGATGCTGCCTGCAAGTTTAGCGGTAAGGGCAATGGCTCCAAGGGCACCGCAACCCCAGCACAGTCTGGGGGAACTGCCAATGCAGCCGCAAAGTCGGCGGCGCCGAAGCCTCAGGCGTATTTCGCCGCAGTGGAGGAGGATGACACAGAGTGTGTCCATCTGTCGAATGCGAGCGCTGGTAGGCTCGAGGGTTACCCAGCCAACCTTGAGCTGACTCCCTCAAAGACCAATACCGGCAAAGGCCGCGGCAATGAAACCCTCTTCTCACCACAGCTTCGGCGCACAGCCGCCGCTAGGATCATGCGTGACAGCCCGCCTGAGGGTTCCGATCGCGTTTTCTCCTTTGGTCAGCATAAGGGTCTGACTTATGAGCGTGTCTTGTATACGTTTCCTGGGTATGTTCTTTGGGGACGCACGCAGAAGTGCCCATCCATAAATTTGGCCGATTTCTTGGATTGGGTCACGGAGTACTTTGATGTGCGTGATGATAACCCCATTAGCATCACGAGAAGGGATGTCCCTCTCAGCCAGGAACCCCCGCCTGAACCCTTCCAGCCCGAGGTTCGCCTCGCCGCGTCAGCTGCTTCGTCCAGCGAAGGCCCCCGGAAATGCCGGGGAGGTTGCAAGGAGTTCAACAAGTCGGGGAGTAACGCATACATAGACATGCGGACCTGTAAGAAA